TCCTTCATTGATGTGTATAATTATGTATTTGTGATGCTTGAGGCAAAATTAGAGCTTCTCCAATGCAATTACATAGTACAGACTTGCTACCTGCTGGAAGGTCTGATACCTTCAAAGGAAGAGAACTACTCACTCAAGCCACAGCATCTTGAACACATTTACATATTCTCAGTAATGTGGAACATTGGGGCTCTCCTTGAGTTGGACAGCAGAGCAAAGATGGAGTCTTGGATGAGAGAGAACAAGCCTGAGCTAGACTACCCTCCCTGTGACCCTGAGAAAGGTGACACCATCTTTGAGTTTGTTCCTGCATGTGGATGATAATAACACTTTCCAATTTCCAACTGAAATTTTCAATTACAATTTATTTTTTGCAAATTTTGCTAAATTTAATATTTTATTTTTACTTCAAATTATAGCTCAAAAGACACCAGATTTGCAGAAGCGTATTACTCTGCTCATTTGCACTGACTAGAGAATTTATACTCTTAAGATATTTTGATTTCAATTTGAAATTTCAAAATCTACATCAATAAAAATGCAGTCATGCCATTGCCTTGCAAACTAAAACTGTAGTCTTGAAATTTCAAAACTACATTAGTTGCAATCTGAAAATTCAAAATGCAAAAAAATTAATTATACATGTACATTACTTCAAACTATAACAATAATACTTTGAAATGTCAAACAATCATAATAGTTTACATATTTTTTATTAGAGTTTAGTCTGTGACAGCAAGTAACTTCTCCAAGTCTGTGATCATAGAAGCCTGAGTGAATTCAGTCACAAGAACTTTCCTTTCCAAATCAGCAACAATACCTACAAAACATAATTACAAATACATTAAGGTTGAGCTGATTATTCACACAGAATCAATGGTAGTTATTATTTTTGTTGACAAATATTGTTTGTAGCATTTTATTAAATTGAAACACAGCATTTCACATACTGTATAGGTGGTTTATTTCGTGTGAAATTAAATTTTCATGCTGGCCATTCCACTAAATTTTATTTAAACCAATTAAATATTAACAAAAATTTTGCAAGGCACTAAAATTAATTATAATAAAAATTTAAACAACAAAATAATAAACCAGCTATACAGTAGTCAAGTCATTTTAGTCATGAATATACAGTAACCTCACCTGATGATACATTTACGGACAGAATATAGTCACCCTTCTCACTAAGTCTTGTTAGTAATGCGACTTCATGAGGGACCAAATTCTCCATATTGTAAGTTGATAACTGCTTCTTCTTTTCCTCTGTACAAGCAATGAACAAAGGAGCAGCTACAGGCAATAGTACTGAATCTAATCAAAAATAAATTTATTTATGCCATTTAATGCATGTAAATAATTATTATCTCACTTTCAAGTTTGTCACTGTTTTTAAGATAAGCCAATTCAATATAAAATCATACTCTGTGACATGAATTTTCATGCCATTGAAAACAATTCTGGCACACAAAAGTTCACAAAATATTCAGTCAGTCCTGCAGCTGTGTTAACAGATTCTAATCATACGATCATATGCAATAATCTAGTAAAAAAAGTTAATTTTGGAGAAAAGGATCAAGGCATACCTCATCATACTCTTTCACATTAAAAATTGACACAGAGAACCAGGGTAATCATTCAATTCAGTCTTCAAAACAACATGAGAAATTGACTCTGGTGATGCTTGTAGACACAGTAGAAAATTTTCATGATGTTTAATGAGACACCCCTTGCTCTCAGATATCACCCAGACATACTAATGCTTCCTTTCCCCTGTTTATTATTCAAAGGAGGATTTGAAAAACAAAGAAG